CGATTTCGGGGAAAGTGAGCCATTTACAGTACGATTAGAGTTAAAAGAATATGGGGTTACGTATTAATCAAGGTCCACTGCCATCCTTCCTCAACACTATAAATAAACGAAGCAACCGGAAATCGAGTTATTCTCAATCGGGACAGGGCCCGGGCACACTAACGCCAGCAGAAAAATATTTTTTGGAATCTATTGGACTGAAAGTCGGAAATGGCGGCGGCTGCAGACTCGTTAAACGTCTTTCAAAGCGCACGTTTTGATGAGACCATAATCAAGACCGATATGCACACCTATCTCCCATACGGAGGATCTTCGAACTTTGGGCTTTCCAGTGAAATCCGTATATTAATTCAAAATCAAGAACTGATAACCGCCACATACGATAGCTTCTTGTACATAGAAGGAAAAATTGAATGGAGTCAGTCGCAAGGAGAGGGTGCCATTGCAAAAACGTGCACCCTAACAAACAATTTCGCGCCATTTCTTTTCGAAGAAATTCGCTACGAGTTGGGAGGACAAAAAGTGGACGTGTCTAGGAATCCTGGAATTACATCCTCACTCAAAGGATACGTATCGTATACGTCTACCGAAAGCAAAGGTATGCAGCATTTGGGGTGGTCACCCACAAACGAATCCGTTCAAGTAGATTACAACAAGAGCAACAAAGAAAAACATTTCGCTGTCTGTATACCGCTAAAACATTTATTCGGAAGCATGGAGGATTATCGCCAAGTTATCGTGAACATGCGACAAGAATTGGTGCTAATCCGTGCTAGAAGCGACTCCGATTGTTACATGGGAACCGCCGACGATGCAGTAATAACGTTAACCAAAATTCAATGGAAAGTTCCGCACGTGACGGTTAGCGACAGTGCCAAAATTGGCCTATACGAACGGATCAATAAGGGTGCAACAATTACAATACCTTTTCGGCAGTGGGAACTGTACGAATTACCTGCATTGAAACAGGCACAGTCGGATGTATGGCCAATCAAGACCTCAACTCAATTAGAAAAACCGCGATGGGCAATTGTGGCATTTCAACGTAGCGGGAGGAAGTTTTCGCACGAAGCGAGAGCGGGCGATTTCGATAACGTGAAAATTCGAAATCTAAAACTGCATCTCAACTCTGAAAGTTATCCGTACGAAGCGATGCATTTAGATTTTAATGCAAACAAGTACATAACGGCATACCAAAACTACGTAAACTTTCGACGAGATTATTATGCCAAGGATGAGCAAGACGCTCTGTTTGACTATTTGTATTTTAAAAGTTGTCCAATCTTTGTGCTGGACTGTTCGAAACAAAACGAATCTCTGAAGCATTCGACTGTAGATGTTAAGCTGGAAATGGAGTCGATGGAGGCCTTCGAGGCGGGAACGGTTGCTTATTGTCTGATCCTGCACGACGCACTAGTTCAATACAATCCTCTGACCGGGGAAGTGAAAAAACTATAAGTTGTATTTTTTTAATGTATAAATAAAATGTAATGATGAAAATGTTCGTAGTTTTATTATAACCGCCTAAAATGAAGGTGGTGACGCAGGAGCATAAGCTGCCCATTCACAATCTAGATACTTTTATAACGCCAAATGTGAAGCGCAAAAAGCACGGCGAGTTACTTCCAAATAGCATAAGATGCTTAATCTGTGGACCTTCTAATTGCGGTAAAACAAATACGATGCTCAGTCTGCTTACTGAGCCCAACGGTCTACGCTTTAAACACGTGTACGTCTATTCTAAATCGCTGAATCAGGACAAATATAGGCTTTTGGGGGAAATTCTGAAGCCGATGAAGGATATTGGCTTCTTCACATTTAGCGAGAATGCTGACATTATGGAACCAAATGCGGCTAACTCTAATTCAGTTTTTATTTTTGACGATATCGCTTGTGAAAAACAGGATAACATTAGAGCGTACTTTTCAATGGGGAGGCATAACGCCGTCGACTGTTTCTACTTGGGTCAGACGTATTCTAAAATTCCTAAACAATTGATTCGAGACAATGCTAACTTAATTGTCTTATTCGAACAGGACGATTTGAATTTGCGACACATTTATGAAGATCACGTCGCTCCCATCATAACAATGCAGCTCTTCCGAGAGATGTGCTCGGAAAGTTGGCGAATTCCTTATGGCTTTATGGTGATAAATAAGGACGCGGATGTGCCAAACGGTCGTTTCAGGAAGGGTTTCGATCACTATATAATACCATGAGAACGTGTTTATTATTCAGTTGGAAATAAACAGCTATCAAGACAACAGCTTCCAAAAATAAACAGCTTTCAAATAAACAGCTTATTGAGAAACAGACCCCTGTTCCATTGTATCTGTTCCCTTGTTTTTTATCTGTTTACCTGTTCTGTTGATCATGGATAATAAGGAGATGGCCTTGAAACGGCGAATAGTTCAGGCTCGTAAAGCGATACAGCAAAAGTACAATCGTCTCAAAACGGATCGTTTTATTAAAGAAGTGGAGTTTGTACGAACGTATAAACCACTAATTCAACCGCTTTCCCAGATCGTAAAGAAAATCGAACCGCTGTCATCATCATCATCGGTTATTGAGACGAAAAAGGAGGAGCCAGAGGACGAAGTATTTACATCACCTCCTAAAAAACCTCAATCTCCTGCAAAAAGAAAGTCACCACAACAACGTACGACCCCTGCGATACCTTATTACTCGCGACTGAGACGAAGGCCCTCTTCCCTTACCGAGATCAGTCCGCTGGCTAGACTTCCCTACTTTCAAAAATATCCGCCTACCGATATTAGCCCCATGGTTAGACCTTTTCACCCCACGGCTACTCCTTCATTGAGACAGCAGCCATCATTTCTACAGAGTACAGTAATAGGAGAGCATCAACCGGAGGAAGAAGAAGAAGAAGAGTCCTCTATCGCATCATCATCATCTGTATCATTACTTGATACGCAAGCTTCGCGAGAATTTTTGGAGCAATACAACCACCTACCGCGTATATACGTCGAGCGCATGATAAGAGATACGATTAATGCAATTGACACGACCTTTGGAATTCATTATAATGTTGAGACGGATAAGTGGACAATGGGCAACACACCGGTGATGATTAATGGTGACGATTTGATGATTAACGGCGTTCGATATAAGGGTACAGCAGGCCTATACGAACTTATCATTATGAATGAGCCGGATGAATCGCTAGTATCCAATCAGGATAGAAGTAACTATAAGCAGATAATAATAGCAACTCATGTCGCACGACGCAATTACGATCCAACCGAACAGATTCGGGGCAATAAGAGCAAAAAGTATACGCTCATAATAAAGCCTCTATTAAAGGAGGAGGAAGATGCGAAGAGGGGGCGTGCGAAATCGGGCAGTGGAATTACTCTATTCAAGGAACTCGACCGGCCCATCGAATACAAATACTGGAATAGCGTTCATGAACTGATAAGGGACTTAGAGGTTTTATGGGGCGAAAAAATGGCAGGAAACACTGGACTAAATAATGACATAATATCAATCGTTGAAGAGCTGTACGAGGATGGTTACATACAAAAGCCCACGCAGCGATTTTTATGTCAACTAGTATAAATACTCCTTTTCCCTCGTTTCGGTTACATTCACCATGGATAAATTCGGACGATCGCATACCCATGCTCAATTTGGAAAACTGCTAAAGACAAAATTTTCCATTACTGATGATACTATAAATGTGGAACGTAAGAGACTAAGTAATGTTGAGGATCCTATTGACCGCCAGGATGCTCTAACCTTACAACATTATCTATCAACAAGGCTGGATCTGAATGGAAATCGGTTGATGAATGTGGCCGATCCAGTAGACGATGGCGATGCCATAAATAAAGGATACTTTATATATAATATGCAGATCGCCAAAGCACCTGTAGAAGGTCTTCGCAATTACGTGGAAGTACTAGAGAAAGAGTTGAAAGCGGTCAAAGAAACCTTGCATAACCTAATAGAGGATGCAGCAGGTCGTAAACGAGCTACATAAAGCGGCACGCAAAAACTTCCCACGTAGGCGTACCGTTATTAAAGGGTTTGATGATCTTTGGCAAGCAGATTTAGCAGAATTTATACCTTACGCTAAACAGAATAAAGGCTACAAATACATATTAGTAGTTATCGATTGTTTCTCGAAATATCTGTGGACGAGAGGATTGAAGACGAAAACGGGCGAAGAGGTGACAAAAGCTATACAGGATATTTTCAAAACTAGCAGGCGTAGACCACAAAATCTACAGACCGATGCCGGGAAGGAATTCTATAACAAACCATTCGCCAAATTGATGACCGAAGAACGCATTAATCACTATTCCACGTACAGCACAAAAAAAGCTGCCATAGCCGAGAGGGTAATAAGAAGTATAAAAACCCCCTTGTACCGACAGTTTAGTTTACGTGGAAAGTATGTATGGATCGATGCAATCGAATCAATCACGAGCGAGTACAATAATCGTATACATCGAACAACGGGTATGAAGCCTATCGAAGTAAAAGCAGACACACATCTGAACGCCTACAGCCACATCAAGCTCTTCAACAAGAGATATCGTTTTAATGTTGGCGATGTTGTTCGAATTAGTAAATTTAAATCCATATTTGCGAAGGGCTACACGCCCAACTGGTCCAGTGAACTATTCAAAATTGTAAAAGTACAAATAACCAATCCGGTTACTTATTTATTGGAAGACATGGAAGGTAAACCGGTATTGGGAGGATTTTACGAGCAAGAGTTGCAGAAAGCCATGTATTCAGATGTATATTTAGTTGAAAAGGTACTGAGACGCAAGAAAGACAAAGTGTACGTCAAGTGGTGGGGATTGGAGGAAAAATCTTGGATCGATAAAAATGATTTAGTGTAATAAAGTATTGTAATTCTATTTTTTTTATAAATAAAACACAAAAAACGATTTTTTGTTCTTTTATTTATTTACCATACAACATATTGCTTTTTTTTCGTAGTAAAACAATCTCTATTAATTATCTCTAATGTTTTTTCGTAATCGCTTAGCAGCGTTGAGGGCCAAATGCCACTATCAGGACCACATCTCCAACCAAGAAGGGCATTCTTATCTTGTGTGCCAATTTGAATGTTGTTCAGTAGCCACTCATAGATTTTTTTATGGCGAGCGTCTTGACGTGGGCTAAACTCATAGTTAATATTGGATTCTTTACAAATATCAATAAATATTTGCAATGCATTACAGTTTGCATATTCGGCAGCTGTACAAATGGCATCGTTAATAATGTACAAAATATCCTTATAAGTATTACTAATAACATTATCTACACTAGTCGCTCCTAAATCTACTATAAACATCTTAAAATATAATGGTACACTAGAAGCAGTAGTAGCAGCAGTAGGAAAACGATCCCCGTTTGCAAGTGCATAATGTTTCATTAAGTTGTCAAGCTCGATCTTTTTATGCAATAATAACTGAATAATTTCCTTGCACGCACTTTTCGATTTAGCGCACCAATTGAAGCAATCGTCAGGAATAACAATGTTTTGTAAAATTTTATTGATGAGGAAGTAGATGTCGATAGAGAAAGTAGTGGTGTTTAACACAACACGTTTCAAATGTTCAACATATGTTGCGTGGGACGCCCGACAGACATCTTTTTCTAATCGTCCGCTGCTCATCTTGACTATACACCTGAAAATACACAGAAGAAACAAATAAAAACACCGACAGAGCGAAGAGGATTGTGGAATTTATACCGATTCGTTGGCGTAGTGATATCCCCAAGGACGGGTATTGATACGGTCTAAACAGATTAGTCGTTTATCGTCGTGCGGGCTCAGTACCACTTTGTTTTGCTTGATGGTAAATACGGAATGTTCTTGCGATCTTATTAAATGCTGAGGTCGTTTCACGGTCGCGTCGTTAAAGAGACAATTTTTATAATCTTCTAAAGTTATCTCCCGAATACTGGCGGATGTTGCCCCTTTGGATTTTTTCAGTACCTTACCGTCTACATGGTAAGCGTACATCTTGGCTCGTAGCCCTACAAACTCCAACATTATCTTACCATTATTCTCGTCTTTCATCAGACCCGGGACTTTTTTGTTAAGGCGTGGAATGCCGAAAACGTTATCGGGGCTATAAGCTGATGTATCAAATTTATCGCAGTTGTCTTTTATGGATTGATAAATGTCGGGAACTGAAAAAGAATATATCAAACTGTCTGTGTCCGTGTACAAAAGCTTTGCCCGATCCTTGAACTCCTTCAAAATAAAATTGTAGTGAAAGCCATAAAGGAAAGTTTTAGAAACGTCTAAAACCGCTAAACCTGCGTAAATGGGTTTATTAAGCAACACCTCCAAACGGTTCATTTCAATGATCGCTATGTCCTTGTTGTCACCAAAAAGGGTACAACTGTTAAAATTTGGTTTGGAGATATAGGCACGGGCGCCGTAACGGCCTTCCCATGCCGTCACCAAATGTACATCTTTATATTTTCTGACGTTTTCCATCAATTTCCCAAACACGTTATTTACCATTTGCTTATAAAAGTTTATTTCAAAGTCATTTTGAGATTGTTGCCTCATTTGTGTATTAAGGTCGATATACTTTTTCAGCCAGGGCGATTGCCGAAAACGTAACACACGATTAATTTTAACAAGTCGCAATCCATGTTTTATATACAATTTTAAATTTCGATAGTGCAACACATAGTTTTGTTTTGGGTATAAAGTAAGCATTAATTTTTTTATTTTAGAAGCAGGGGGGGTCATGTGTTCGGGTGCCAGGGGTAGATCGGAGTGACTGGCGTGCAATTCCCTGGGATAATCAAGATCACAATCCAAAATGTATCCGATATCGTCATCATCAGGATGGTTTACAATATCTAACGTATCAAAATGATCTAAAAAGCAGAACTCTCCATACGGCAAAAATTCGCACATTGTAGCCCCATAAAGAGCATTGACGTCAAAATAAACTAAATAGATCGATTCAAGGTCGGGACGGTAGCCGTCTTTCATATATTTGTTGTTGGCCTTCGCGTATCTAGTGGAACATTGAGTGATGCCTCCTCTAATACCCTTCTCAACGAACATAACCTGATCGATGTCTGTTAGAAGTTCCAATTTAACCTCTGTAATTTTAAGCATGGCATCGAATGCTAATCCCGGAGCAGTGTAGTAATGTAGGGGATCGAGTTTGTAGGTTTGTAGGCAAGTGTAGCGAAAATTTTCAAATATATCGGCCAAAAGAAGCACGTCCGTTTTTAAATACAGGTCTGAGTATTGGCCAAGGGTTTGAATCGAAAACGAGTTCCATACATTTAAAGCGTGTCCATAATCTTCATCACTTACACCGTTGTTGGTCAAAAGACTAAAAAATCGATGTTGTGGTGGCATCTGAGTTTCATCTAACTTTTTCCAAGAGTCAATATATTCGTAGGGAAAAACACCCTTTCGCGTAAGCAAATTGAACTCCGTTTCGTTTCGACTTTGCGATCTTGTTATGGTTTTCCTATCATTTCCTAAGTAAGAAGATAATTTGTCTATGCTACTGCTCATGAACCTAAAGGAATCGATAAATCGAAAATTTACATGTGTACCCTCCACGTATTTAGTAAAAGAAATGTATTTTTCTTTATTTAAGGGTAAAAGTTTAATGGGTCCCGGTATACAGGTCGCTAGTTCACCGATAAGGAAATGTGCGTCGTACCCGCTGAGGTTATGAAACACCACAGGAATTACACGAGTATCTTGATAGTTTACGTTGCATTTTTGGTGGCTTGGACCGCGATATTTTGAAGTAAAATGGCAATGATCCCGGCAACGAATTTCATTTTCCAAAAATGGATGTTCACATATATGACATTGAGTGGCATTCTCGAAATCTTGGAGTTGAGCCGCGCTTAATTTTTCCATGGGTAGGGGATTATTAAATATGTTATCAGCCCAAATCGCAATGGTCCGTAGCTGATTAATAAACCAAGTTACACAATCCGGGCCTCTATACAATAAAAATTTAGATAAGGAGTCATCATAAGCACATTTTAGATAAAAAGCAATGCTAAAGGGTATATGCTTTTGAAACAGTTTAGTGTTTCTATTTTCATTGCAAAGGTCATCACATTTCATCAAAATGCTTTCAATATCAGCATAAATAGCAAACGGCACCTTTTCCTTATTAGAAAAGTGGGAAAACTGTAAAAAATTTTCATCGTAACTAGGCAATCTCACTGCACATTTATTTACCTGATGACAACGAACGGTGTGCTTATCCAAGAGCATATTAGAAGAGAAGTGGTTCAAGCAAATGTTACAAAAAAATTTTGAATGGCAATGATTTGACAATTGCGAGGACAATAAACGCGATAAATTTTTAATCCAGGCAAAATGGTAATTTGTACGATTAGCAGAACGATTAACGGTTGAATCAGACGACAACACCAATAAATTTATTGTCACGGTAGCGTTTTCGTGGTTCGTACTTAACATGAAAGGGAGTACGCTCCTCCTATCCAAACAATATAAATTAATTGCGAGGTTATTTAGTCGCTCAAATTTTTTTATGTCGGTCAGTTTAATGGGAAATTGAATAGATCTACGATTTAGCACTTCATCAAAATGAGGATAATTATAGGTTTTGTCGGCATTGGATAGCGCGGGGTACAAGGCCGAGACCACGGACCATAAGAAGCAATATTGATCATTATTCTTTACATTAATAATAGCTCTTTTAAGAGCGAGAAAACGAGGTAATTTGACATAAGTGGAGAACTTTCCTACTCTAATAGGGACATATTTATTTATGTTAACTTTTAAATAGAGAATTTGGCTCAAAGCCCACCCAGAATCACATTCTTCGAATGATCCAAGCTTCGTTTGCAATCTATCAATCACCTCAAACTCGTACCATTCTCTCAGATTGGTTCCAATATCTATGACGGAGTTTCTAGTTGCAAAAGTTTTTAAGTCAACATTAAGGTTTTGGGGATTAATAAAATCGCAAGCAAGTATCACGTTAACTTTTAACATTGAGCTCTTCAATAGCTCGCGCAATTTTCGTAGAACTATATCATAGGCACGATGTAAAAATATTAAGGGATCTTTGTCTCTTAAATTGACAATAATTCCAGTAAGAATTCTCCCTTGAAAAGAAGAATGTAGAGGATGCCATACGAGATTAGGGAAATGGGAGGTAGTAGCACCATCGGTTGCGGAAGCACTAATTCCACAACCCTCTTTTTTGGATACACTTCGTAATTTATGGTGTAACAGAGCCAAATAGAATTTAAGTATCCCTAAATTAGCTTCAAGCCTAATAGGGTTTTCATTGGGACTATCTAAATGAATCCTATTGGTAATTGCGTTTTCTACTATACTTATATTATTACGTAAGATCACAAGGTGTCTAGAGATTTCCGATTTGCTCTTTATTAATTTGACAGCGTGTCGTGTAAGTCGAACTATGTCACTGCTAAGGGACGCCACAGACGTAGTCGAAGCTGTCGACATACTTACACAAAAACTCAAAATTATCCAAGTGCAAGCAACGAGTAAGTTGGTATCAAATTGGTATCGATTCGCGATCACCGACACTGTACGGAATTGCTTGTGAGTACGAGCGTAGCACCAACCCAGTAACAAAAACACCAAAACCGCACTTGCTGCTCTTAAAATTCAAATTTTTCGTGGTTTCTTTTAACAAAAAAATATTTTTGTGACTAAATTCGGAAAGTGTATACTATCTGTCATCGAATGATATAAACAAACAGTGTAGAATTTGAGGAATTTCAGCCAAAAAGAGTAATTACAGTTATTTGTTAGGTGCGCTTGCATATGTGCGAAAAAAATGGATAAATTATTCCGCTATGGAGGGTTGCTTTTTCTAATAGGTACGTAGGAACTCATTTTCTGCTAATTGTTAAATTGGAAATTGTATTAAGACTGTAGGTACGTTATTGTTTCCCAATTTACAGGTCTTTTATTATAGATTCGCGCGCTCGAGATTGCAGGTTCATTACCGTCTTATCGCAGAAATTCTTGGAACTTTGACGATTTCCTTATTCTAATAAAAAATGCAGTTTATGTTCATATCGCGTATTTTAGCGAAATCAGTTTTAAACGAATCCCAATTTTAATGATTTGGTTAGCACACGCTCCCTAGTCGTAATGAAGCGATCAATACGGACAATGAACGATCGATACTATTTGGAAAATTTCATTCAGCTTTACATTCAGTAGAAATTGTAATAATACAGCAAATACGGTACACGAAACTATTTCCTATTACGTTGCTATTGAAAAATATTTCGTTTTCGATGCATTCACGATACTTTTAAATCTGTCAAGCGAATTGTGATTCCAAATAAATAATTATTTTACGTATTATGAAGCTCGATTACAGTTATTTGTTAGGTATACGCTTGCATGTTTTGCGAAAATGTTCCGCTTCAAAATGAGCGGTGCATACTTATTTTTTGCTAATGGATAAATTGAGAATTGCATTATTACTGTACATATTCTTTCCCAATTTGCAGGTGATAAGTTCTATTTTAGAATCTCGCGCGCGCTCGTGTTCAGTAACCTCTAATCGCAGAAAGAATTTCCACTTTCCTGGGAACTTTGTCGACTTCCTTATTCTAATAAACTAGCAGTTTTAATGTTGACATGGCGTATTTCGCGAAATCAGCCTATCGGTATTATAAAGTTTTAAACGAATGGTATTTAACCTTAATTATTCTTTTGGTTAATTTACCAAAGGGACAAACACACACGCAGCCCAGTTTGCACTCATGGAGCAATCAAAACGGCTCGAAAAAAATTCATACAGCTACAGAAATTGTAAGCAAATACGGTGCACCACATTATTGCTAATTTTGTTGCCCTTGAAAGAATTGTTTTAGTTTTTTAACGCATTTCCAATACTTCGATTGTTTCAATTAATATTGATTTTACTTATAGTGCGATCGATAAATAATAATCGATACCTCTAAACATTCTCTCTGCTGAGTTGAGAAATATACCTACTACATTTTAAAGAGAAATTCTAAGAATAAAACCATTTCAACGCTGCCGACCACTCTTTATTAATTACTTCATTATAAAAAATATATACGAGGAAAACCTGCCCATTTGTGGCTGGATTCCTTCTCCTCCTCCTGCTAACTAAGTTGGACCGATTTTAGTTTGCGCTGCACTCCAAAAACTTCCAAATCCCATTTAAGCTTTTTTATTTCTCCCAGCAAATTTTCTAGCCGTTTTCGCCTCTCATGTGCCTTGAGTGTTATGTTAACTGATGTATGTCTTTTTATAATTACTTTTGTCATCTTGCTCGTCGTTCGAATGAAGTAAACTTCATCCAGGCGAGCACTTTATATATGTTCATTAGCCAAACTACGAACCTATCCTGTTAACAAACCTTAACACTTAATAATCAAAAGCCCATTAGTTGTGCAAGTGCAATAATCTTTAAACCACAATAAAGGTTAATGCCATATTGAGGTTAATACACTTTAAGCAGCACGAGTTTAAACGACACGACACGAAGGTTAATACACTTTAAGCACAAGTTTACCGACCCGAAACGAAGGCAATGCCCTTTTAGTAATCTCAAGGTCATATTTAGAAACGGCTATAACATACTACTAAACGCGATTTAAAAATCATTCAAAACGCATATATAATACAGACATCAAAGACGTCAGTCAAATCACGACTCTTTCTCCCACTTTTTTTTTATTCGCAGTTGTGGTCAATCATTTTAATTGCTGGTTACACGTGAGTAACTGCAAAGGGGATTAATTTGATTATTTTTCGTAATTGTGGTCGAATCGCAGCTTATATGCTTTTAATGTGTGTAATTAATTAGTAATATTTCGCCGTTTAATTAGTGGAGTAAACAAATACTTTCAGTGGACAATGAAATCTAAAAAAATATCAAAAATGTTTTTATACAGTAAATTAGGTCGAGAAGACGTCCAAACGAATTTTCTTTATGTCTAAAATACAATTTAGTGCATTTTCTGTAAAATAATTGACATGACACCCGAGTTTGCATTGAGCCCGATTATCAATGAAATCAGCTGTCTACCCTCATGTCGCTAACGGCGCACCCCTTCGAGTGAGCAAGGAAACGCGCACTTCTCCATACATCTATGTATGTGTAAAAGTGTAGGTATATATTTTTCCAAATGTCAATAAAATTACACTTCATTAAGTACTTAATTACTGAATTACTTCTTTAGTTTATTTAAATTGTCGTCGTCAACAATTGTTAACAATTTAGATACCTTCCTAATTACGACTACTGTCATTTTTATAAAATTAGCAATACCTAGTGTAAGTACCTCATTCCGAGTTGTTTGATTGGATTGTTTAACTTACTCTAAAACGATATGTTACGGTCAAGCGCCTAATACCAAATTTATTAATTAATTTACGTTGTATCTACATTTTTGGAAACAAAACTTTATCTGGCATAAACTCTTTTTTTAGTTTGTCAGTGATAGCGAGCCAGAATTAAGAAGATTAAATATTACATTACTTGTTATGGAATATCGACGTCAATATATGTTTCCGTGTTAAGTTAAGCAGAAAACAAATTTTTCTTATTGCAAGAATCCCATTTGATTTTTCGACAAGAGTGATTGTTGTACAAAAATAATATGAGTAAGAAACTCCGCGAGACTAATTCAAATCCAAAATGCTTTAAGTTGCTGTTAGACCGTTGATGGTAACAGAACGTTGTAAATATTAAGCATTAAATAAAAATAGCACTGTTTTGCAGAGATTTTGATATTTAGATTCTGCTTATCCACCAAAGTTGAGTCTATGCCGATGGTTGCTCTGATGTTTAAAAATTTGAATCTAGTATACTCCACGCTCTAAATGCCAAATCTGTTCTATAACACTAGGCACAATCAGGCTGCAGATGTTTTTGGAATAACAAATCTTATCTAAGCAAATAGCAAAATTAATCTGTAATAGCAAAAGAACGTTGCTCACTCTACATCATATGTTTATTCTATTGGGTAATATCATCAATCCTATCTTCCACATGTTCCTTTAAGCTTGATACATTCCTTCGTTTATAAAATCTTTCAAATTCCGGCTAAATAAATTGAAAAAAACCGGGGCGGTTTACGCAACAATATGCGAAATTACATTTGTGTAAACAGTCCATGATGTTTACTTTAAAATCAATATCACATTTGATTTACTGCGAGCGAATGGGAACTTGGTCAGACAGCGTATAATACAAAACTTTGCTTACTGTTCTGTATCGGTTTATAAGAAATACATCTGAAAATTTTCGATTGATATATCTCTCGCCTGTTAAGACGCAATCCTATTTTGAAAAGATAATATAACAAAGAGGAGCGAGCCGTTTAGTTGATTTCTCAGTGGAACTGTAGTAGCAACCACATGCATTATTTCATTCTTTTAAGTCTAAACAAAACCAAATTGCAGTCTTGAAGAACGTGCTTAAAGGGGAAAAATATAGTTAATATTATAAAATACGTACAATACATTCGAAAGGTCTACAAAGAACTGCGCGCGATCGATGGTGTTTACTGATGCATATTTTGTGATGCTGTGTCGCTTATTGGAAAAAGGAGAAATTTAAAAACGCCGATCGCTCGTGCATTTTATAAACAACTTTCCGCTCCGAAAAATATCTGCCACTCTTGGGTAAACATTTGTATTTGCTGTGTATGAATTTACTGAGAAAAGAAACAACGGTTAGGCATTTTCTCTAAATTATGAACGCATCTCCATTATTATCAGCGAATCGATTGAAGTATTTTGTGTATTCCGTGTATTAAAGCAACGTGTTTTGCCTTCGATTTAAGGGACTATGACACTTTTCCACACAACTAAATGTCAAATTGTTTCATACATTTTGAGCACAGAAGGGTGCTTTCTGCCAATAATCTGCAATCAGATAAAACACAAAAGAAACAAGAGAAAGTGATAGCCCGGCATATAAATGAGAGACAAATTAATATTTGGCACGTCGGGTAACTCGAACACGAAAAATCGTTAGTAACATTCAATGGAAAGCAATAATTCAATTTACGTTTGATAGCAAAACTCAAGAGAAAATATTATAATAGCAAATACAAATCCAAATTTTACAAGCAAACAGCACGAGCGCAAAATTTTCTCTAACGGAGTAAGTAACGCGTACGTGAGAGAGAGAGAGAGAGAGAGAGGAAAACACACTGAAAAGTACATTCCGGTGACCTCTAGCGAGAACATAAAAAACAAGGAGTGAAACCTTTACCAACAAACTAACTACAACGAACTTGCACGAGAAATACGCAGATGGCGTAACGGGTAACGGGTTTCAAAAACAAAGATGGTGTGGGGCGTTCAATTGTTTTTGCAATAACCTTCTTTAACTTCTTAACGGTTTGACCGATTTTAACAAATTTGGTATGGTTGAAAAGAGCATTCCTTGGGCAATGAGAATCAACCAAAATATAGTTAATTTAGTTGAATCCTTCTCCGCCAGGGGGCTAGTTTTTGACACTATGACCCAAAAACCTAAAAAAATCAAAAAAATCAAATGGAATGATATGACTTTTTCTTTATGAAAAAGTAGCCAAATAACATCCAAGAGGCCAGTAAAAACCGTTTTTCAAAATCTCGTTCCTAACCTCAAATATTGGGAAAATGAGATTAATTAATTAATTAATTAATAAAAATGCTTAAATTGTATCTTTTATTATATTTATATTTATATTATATTTTATTCTTTGGCGAGAAAGAAAAGCACCCTACACTTTTAGGTAGACCTTGGAAAATTAAACAAATGAAACACGATGCATTATAAAATAATAACAGTCGTAATTTGTAAATTATTCTGCTGTGTTTACATTCAGAAAGTGCAGTTTTTTGAAGTTGTAATCTTTTCTAAAATGCCGATTTCTAACCAAGAAGCATTTAATATGCTGGCGATATATTTTGAGTATTTTCAAAATGCGACCATCGCTGCCCGCATCTTCTATTTGCGTTATCCGAATCGACCACGAACCATCGCCGCCAGCATATTAAATGCTTCTTGGTTAGAAATTGGCATTTTAGAAAAGATTACAAATTCAAAAAACTGCACTTTCTGAATGTAAACACAGCAGAATAATTTACAAATTACGGCTGTTATTATTTTATAATGCATCTTGTTTCATTTGTTTAATTTTCCAAGGCCTACCTAAAAGTGTAGGGTCCTTTTCCAAACAATCTTTTGCGCCATCGACAAATACCGGAAAGACGTCTAATAAGATGCAATTTAATCATTTGATTAATGAATTAATTAATCTCATTTTCCCAATATTTGAGATTAGGAACGAGATTTTGAAAAACGGTTTTCACTGGCCTCTTTGGGTATTATTTGGCTACTTTTCCATAAAGAAAAAGTCATATCATTCCATTTGATTTTTTAAATTTTTTTTAGGATTTTGGATCATAGTATCAAAACTAGCGCCCTGGCGGAGAAGGATTCAACTAAATTAACTATATTTTAGTTGATTCTTATTGCCCAAGGAATGCTTTTTTCAACGATACCTACCAAATTTGTAACAATCGGTCAAACAGTTAAGAAGTTAGTGCAAAAACACTGAACGCCCCACACCATCTTTGTTTTTGAAATAACTGAGTTTTTGTTTTTACGAAAATGATAGATAAACTGGTTCTCTTTAAAAATGTGAAAAAAGAATGTTTAGTTTATTATGCGAAATTTAAAGAAAATACCATTTTAAAATTTAAGATGGCAGTTATGCCCTCTGGTGGTCATTTTTAGAACTTGAAAATATTTTCCAACGATTCTTCATAACCGATTTACCCAATAATTCTTTTTACCCCTAAGTCATACGATGAACGGTTCCCGAGATATGGCCGAGGAACAGTCTTATTGGGTCATCCGGTACATAATCTCTAAATAAATTGAAATTAAAAATTGAAAAAAATTACAAGGGAAATTAAATTCTCAAGGGAGATAAGGGAGGTTTTCAATAGCTCTTTGTTGTTGTTTAACCGTTTTTTAAATAAAATTTCAAAGCACTCATTTCTTGCGTTTTTTTAATGCTGGTTTCTGGTTTTGATTTTTGAGTTGCGCAGTCGTTAATTCGTTGAAATCGGGTTATTACAATTGTGAAAAGAAATCTGCTCACCTAACACCTAGTGGAGGTTTCAAGTAGCGCCGTTCGATTGCAGATTCCAATGAGATCAATCTATCTTTTGCCAGCTCTACTAATTGACCCATGGGTAAATCGGGACTTTCTCTAGAAGGTAGTCTCCAACCTTTCACTTGCATGCTAGCGTTCGCCACCTTATCTTCTAGCGCTTCCACCTAGAAAGCAAATTGATAAAACACGAGGACAATGTAAACAATTTTACCTGTTCAAACAAGAATGTATCGACTCGGTGTGCGACAGATTGGCTCCAACAACCCGGTTCGTCGGGTTGTGGTGCATCTCCCGAAGTCATTTTGACCTCCTCATTGTTTAGGCCTAGTTCTGTCGCCTCCTTCTGACCTTCATCAATGTGCAGCTTCCCCTGATTCTCATACATACATTGCATTGTATTCAAGAAAGTTCTCTTGAGCTCACGTTCTCTAGCACCGCGCACGTGCAAGCTCTCTATCACGCCCTTTAGTGTTTCAGTATCCTTAATCCGCCACCAACCATAACGTTGTTCGGGTGGAATTTTCTTCCTGTCGCACGATTTAGGCAAACCGTGCTTCTTAATATACTCCATTTGGACGCTTTCCTCGGCCGTCATCTGCAAAGGTCCGGGACTATCACACGAGTTCATCAGGTACATGGAGGAGTTGCTCGGCGGCGGAAAGACAGGAATTTTCAATTCGGTCATATTTTCACGAGAGCACGCGCCGACGCCGGTATCCCATCGATTGCCCTGCGTTAAATGGGAACCTTCGCAAGTTACGCAGTCTTTAGATAAAATACTGAACCACTTCGCTTCCATTTCGGATTTAATATCGTCAGCCTCCTGCTTGTAATCGATTTTATCCGACTTTAACTCATTTAAAATCTCATTTTTAAGTTCCTCCTTAACTTCCGCTTTTACCTCAAGTTTCAACTCCTCCTCGGTTTTGTTCTCGCGTTCCATGCACTCACCCAGTTTCTCAAAGATGTTAAACTTTTTGATCGAGTGTTGCTGCTCGTCTTCCGAACCAAATTTGCTTTTCTCTAAATGGTTTTGAGATTCCTGTTTGTGGTTATTTAAATCTAGATTGTAAGAAGGTCTCACGTTATCACAAAAATTAGTACCGCAATTTTTACCCTGGTTAAAATCAACGTTTCTATCTAAACTTTGTACAATTTTTTCTACACTTTTCCTTAGTTCATCTAAGCTTTGCTCGCACGAATCCGTCACGTCCCCATTCTCGACGACATTTAACCTATTCGGAGTTTTCCTATGTTCATTTTGGTTCGGTTTCTCCACATTTTCGCTAAACACCTCTGTATCGGACTGTTCGCCCACAATGTTACACACTTCTTTGTCCTCGTCGTGCACATCGTGATCCTCCGTCACGACGCTCTTAATGTCTTCGATGCTGGTAATCTGGTTTTCTGGGGTTGCGTCGTATATCTCTTGTTGTTTTAGCACCTCCGGATCGCTCGATTCGATTGCCTCAACGTAAACGCCTCCCCCCTTCGGTAATGACCAATATCGCCTCCAGTAGCGATCTTGACCGTAGCAAGTCGCACGTAACTGATGTGAGGCGTGGTTCAAGCATTGAAGTTGAGTTTCGGATTGTTTCACAAATTTCTCCAACTTCTTTCCCAACTCTTCTCCCGATAGTTTGTTGTCTTCTTCCTAATTTTGGAATTTAGATATTTTTTAAAAAAAAAGAGGGATAAAAAAAAATTAATGGTCAAACTCGAAATATACAGGGTGTTTTTTTGGGAGCTTTAGTTAAAAGTTTCTGAGAAAGTAAAATACGTAGGTGTTTGAAAATTTGTACTTAGGAGTTACCCTGAAGGCCGAATCTATGTAAAATATTTTCAAAATGGCCGCACTTCCGGAAACACCGGAAGTAGATAGTAACTTCGTTATTTTAAATGGCAACCCCTAATTTTGGCATTTTTGGATTCTACGTGAAATTTCACTTCTTTTGATACCCATATGTCAATATCTACCATTTATGGTTTTTAAGTTATTTTGACTTTAAGAAAAAAAATGGCGGATGCAGATGGTACCTTGATAATTTGATTACTTGAAAACGGTTGTAGTCATGGCAACCTATTTTTATCAGTGCATAGAGAATGAATAGGGCTTTCTTTTAGTGCACTTAAAAAAAAGTTAAGTTGCGTACGACCGCCCCTATGGATATCCAAATTTATGAAACTTCAAAGACTAAAAACTCAGTTTTTTTTCTTACTATTGCATGAGATAGAGAATCGAAATGGGCATATTTTGACAATACATGTTCCTATAGCTATCTTTAACAGTTTCTGACTAAAACTGGAACGAAATTGTATGAATTTTGGAAATTTTGTACCCCTAATGCACTACAAACCGTTGAAGCACAAGTGATACAAAGCTCTACAAGAGAATATTTAAGAAAATGAATTGAATGGCAAATGCAAGATTTTCAAAATAAATTCAATGCAAAATATAAAAAACTTCGTTGAAACATTTTTGGTATGGAATTGTTGCTAGAACAGATATCGCATTACCTCTCTTAATTTCCAGACCTATAAGTTGTTTAAGAAATTCAGTTGAACGACTCTGTTTAGATTTTTCAAAAATTTTCCGCCCTATATCCTTAATAAATGAGTTATTTATTAATGAATTATTTAGACTAGAACTAGAATCAATGGTATTAAAGAATCCATTCCTTGATTTGTTTAAAATTCGATTGTTATAAAATCATGGCCAACTACTAAAAAGAAAATGCGAAAAAAAATGGCATCAATTCCGGGATCAATTCAATGAAATGGGAATAAATCAGAAACTGTTAAAGATAGCTATAGGAACATGTAATATCAAAATATGCCAATTTCGATTCTCTATCTCATGCAATAGTAAGAACATGGTCATTCCATTTAAAAAAACTGAGTTTTTAGACTTTAAACTTTCTTAAATTTGATCTCCATAGGTGCGGTTGTACGCAACTTAACTTTTTTTTAAGTACACTAAAAGAAAGCCCTATTCATTCTCTATGCACTGATAAAAATGGGTTGCCATGACTATAACCTTTTTCAAGTAATCAATTATCAAGGTACCATCTGCATCCGCCATTTTTTTTCTTAAGTCAAAATAACTTAAAAACCATAAATGGTAGATATCGACATATGGGTATCAAAAGAACTGAAATTTCACGTAGAATCCAAAAATGCAATAAAAAATAGGGGTTGCCATTTAAAATAACGGAATTACTATCTACTTCCGGTGTTTCCGGAAGTGCGGGCATTTGGAAATATTTTACTTTCCCAGAAACGTTTAACTAAAGCTCCCAAAAAAACACCCTGTATATTACACGCTTAATCGGTTAACCAGTTACCTGAAATTAAATGGTTTATCCGTGGTTAACCGGTTATTTGCGACAAGTGGGTACTACTAGTTCATATACATATTTTATTTTTATTTAGTTTAAAAATTTTTCTATACAGGGTGTTTCAGTACGATCGCCATTTAGAATTTTTGAAATGGCAACAGAGGTAATGTGATTCGTCATTATAAAACTTTTTTCCCATCTCTTACTACCTTAATCATGAAAGGTGTTAAACTAGCCCCCTCAGTATTGGACCTTGTCATGGTTGTGGGGCTTGAGTGGTTCACTGATCAAGGGAGGCTCCACCCAGGTACAACCTCTAGTCGTTTAATCAGTCATAGTTACTTTTGATTGACTTTTCGATACACTGACGCACACTGCTGGTAACAAAAGTACTTCTTAGATTCCTTCAAAACTAATTTCCCCCTGTATTATGCAAGTTTGGAAATAAAAAAGAAATGTCTTCATTACCCCAATTTTGAGGGCGACTGCCATCTTGAACTTTGTTTAAATAAACAAAATGGATTATTTAAATTTCTTTTCCATTCCGAAAATCAATATCTCGAACCTTGTTTCTTTAGTGTAGATCAGATACAAAAACTGTTTCAACATTTTCCAAAAAAGGGTTAAATGTTTACATCACTAGAAAAATTCAAGATGGCGGACGCCCTGAAAATTTAGTAATGAAGAAAAATCTTTCTCTTTCTGAAACATGCATACAATGTCTCATTGAAGTCCTCCAAACGTGCAATCAATACCTACCTCAAAACCGTTTCGGCAGGAGAGCCTTGTCCCATTACTTTCTAGCCACCCTGTATAGACTTGCACATGCTAATTTAACGCCATACATGCAAGAGAAACAATAAGCTTTATAATGACCTATGTTGCCGTTTAAAAAAATTCAAGATGGCGGTCGCAAACAACAATTCTGTATATGTAAAATAATTTCAAATGGAAGCGTTCTAATTATCATGTCTATATCTGAAACGATTTGGGTGTGAGAGCTATGGTTCCATCTTTAATAGTATAAATAGCTATACCCACCTCCTCAGGCTGAGTGCCGAGACTTTCATTTTCGCTTATCTCATTTTCTTCATCGTCCAACAGCTCGTCCTTATGCGGTACGGGAAAATCGATAACACTTTCCGCCGTCTCCATTCCGTCCACTTTCACTTGAACTTTCTCTGCATTTTCGGAACGCACCTTACGATTGTGCAACGTTCGCAATCTAAAACGCGAGGTTACTTGCGTGTTATACCTTCGTACGCGTCCCCTTACTTTCTGATTTTAGCATCCATGATCCACCTTTCCTTCTTGAGCTGTGTGACACCTTCTAGGGATGCGTCGATTTGACGAATGACTGCTTTGTTTTGTAAAAGTTCATTGCAGATGAATGCCAACATGGCCGCCTTATCCGTGGGAGATAGGGCCAAAAATGGTTTATCCTGAAAGCTCACGTTGAGAAACTAAGTGTACAAATTTTTGGGGCGTACCTTTAACATATCCGACATTTTCCATGTATCGTTATCGTGCAATAATTCGTAGTAAGTGACATTTTTGCCGCACTGCATTGTTTGCATCATTTCACAACCGTTTTGGTGGTGATCTGCAACTCGTCTTTCACGTTCTCTTTCAAAATGAACACCTACATAAAAAAAGTAAGTTATTTACGAATAAATACAAAGTTGGTTTATTTGACTTGAATTTGTTTTTCCTTTTAGAAATTTGTTAGGTGCGTAATTTTATCGCTTTTGTAATTTACTCAATTTAGATAAGGTGATAGAAGTGAAACACATCTGATCGTTTGCAATAAGACGTTTTACTGTTAGGCGAAATTTAATTAACGCACGTGTTCTTTCGCTGATAAGGAGATGCAGATGTTACGAAAAATCGTGTGGGGAAGGAGGGGGGGTCGTTTTAGTGCGTTCCGTTGTGATTGGCGATTTATTTAGAAATTAGCCGAAAGAATTCTATCCAATATCTCCAGAAAGGGTCTACAACTGTTGTTTTAAGAAAGCTCTGGAAACAGCACAAAAATTCTCGTAAAAGGTCTAGAAAGTTCTTAAATGCTCAAAAAATCGTCTGAAAATCTCTGGGAAGGTAAGGTCTGAAGGCCTAAGTAGTTGTGGAGGTGACATTAATTGGGAGCCGCCAAAGGAAGACACATTAACACAAAATGGAGGAGGTTTTAAATCAGTTTGAGAATGTAAGTGCCTAGCTGTCTTTTTGATTAGGGGCTTAGCTTAGATCATATTGTGAAAAATGAAACAGTGGAAATACTAACCCGTTAATGCTTTGACTTCACCAGTGGCATTGGCATACAGATAAATCCTAAGTATTTCAGACAAATTGGCGTGTGTGATGTCCGCTTGCCTCAATGTTTGCCCGAGACTAGTAGTGTGCCTTGCAGGATTTGGTATACCAGGATCTTCAATCGCGCAAACAAGTAAATGAGTCATAACCGACAGTAATTCTTCTTCCGCTTCGCTCATTTGCGAGTCATTGTACAATAGCGCTTGTTGTAACGAGTCAAGAGTGGGAAGCGACTCCATGTCAAACCCGAGAGTTTCTCCAAAGTTGTGCAAAAATTCGAACACCATCAAGACGTCGGCGAACGCCTTTCCGGAAAGTCTCAATCCCGGAATTCTCTGATATTCTGGCAAGGGCTTTTGATCTAATTCTAAATCCTCGCATGGCTTTCGGAGCTCGGTCAGAATTTCTAATTCGATACGTCTTTGCTCTAGTTTCTTTTCCTTGCTAGCTTGTTTTTCGGCAAACGCTTGCTGTTTTTTGCGTTCTCTTTCTTCCAACTTTCTGCGATTCTCCAACGCTTTGACGAGGGCTATGTGTTGCCTTCGACGTTCCCTTTCCTAAACAAAGAGAATTTCATTACAAAAGAATAATGAACACAAATCCCAAAAACAAAACCACATCGGTTCTTGGGTTGTTTGAGATTTGTTTGATGGATTAGTTATTCCGTCATGCAATTTTATATTAGAAATAAACATTAGAAGCAAATGTTCTGAATTTCTCGATTCGGTCATTAGTTGTTAGTAGAGCCTTTGGTCTTAATCCTAAAACTGAACGAGCAACAAACAATGCATAACACACAAAAGCGACATAAAATAGAATGCAAAAAGGTTGCAATGAAAATAGGGTGAGCAGAGTAGAAGAGCCATACCAGTTCGACAGTGTAGAGCATTTCTCGTTGTTTACTGATCTCCTGTATGTACATCTAAGAATAGAAACAGCCTTACAGTATGTACACAAGCAAACAAGTGACAATACAAATTTAATACACAAACTTAATCAAACTACAAGGACCAACTACCTACAATTTGATACTTTCGAAAAATTCAAAATGCTATTTCTCTACCTCTTGGAAAATATTGGACTGTCAAATTTCCTTAAAGCAAAATATTTTGGCTGTCACTTGCTGGGAGACAATTGTGCGAAAAGTTAGCACAATGGAAAGAATATTTGTTCTTTCCACCATATTGTTAATTCTTCAATCAAATCGACAAGAAGAGAGAGCGAGTTAAAAACAAATCGCTTTCTAAGCATGCCAGTTACAATACATGTCTCTGTCATGAATTTGGCAACATTGTCATTTTATATTAGCTTTGTTGTAGGTATCATTTCTTAAGACAGATTTCGTTTTATTTGATACCCCAGACCTCCAGATATTTGCATTAACTGAATCAAAATGTTGGAAATGCTTATGTCAAGCTTTTTTCAAAGCAAAATGTCCTAATGGAGCTGATGCAGTGAATACACGATTATTATCATTATATTATTATTATAAATGCCGCAGATTCAACTTTTTCAAATTACTAAGTTTCGGATAACCTGGTAAAATTAGACAGAAAGATATCAAATAGCTCTGGCCCATCAAAACATTTTTAAAAATCTTTGTAAAAACATCAATAGATATTTTTAACAGAATTGTTCCTGGAAGTTTCTTAAAATTACATTCTTTTTTTCTTTGCATGTTTCGATTCACACTTCAAATGTTTGCTTTTTTCTCTTTATTTAATTGTTCTTATGTTTTCTTCATAAACATCTCCCATTTTTGTCGATTTTGGTATATGTGGGCGCATAATCCCCTTGTTTTTTTGTTTGGGCCCATGGACACAATTTGCCATTTTTGTGCCATTTAAACGCCTAATTTGACCCTTTCTTGGTGTAGAAAATTTAAATCTTAAAATTAAGGAACTTAACTACCCTAGTTGTGCTGATTGTGTGCGCATAGTGCCATAATTTGCTAACTTTGTGCCATTTGAGCTCCCTGTTCGATCATTTTTTCGTGTAGAAAAGGTAGATTTTAAAATCTCCCTTGCGCCCACTGAAAATTTTTCATTATTTGTGCATTTTGGGCGCATAATAACCTCATTTTTCTTAGTAATGTTTTCAACACTAATGGACTTAACCACCCCAGTTGTGCTATTTGTTTGCGTTCATTGCCACAATTGGCAATTTTGTGCCATTTGACCCTTTTTGTTTAGAAAATGTATCTAAATTTGACAATCCAAGATTACTGCTAATGTTTGCGCCCACTGGGACGTTTACATTGTGAGTTTTGGGCGCATAAATCCTACCTTTTGAGTAGCACATGTTAACCTTTCAACATTAAGGCACTTAACTACCCCATTTGTGTTGGATGTTTGCGCCAATTGTCACAATTTCCCAATTTTGTGTCGCTTAAGCGCTCAACTTTACCCTTAATTCGTGTACGACTGGTCAATACCAAAATTTGCGCAGGCGAGGCGTCGAAGTACTAAATATAGGATTATTATTTTTATGATTGCCAGTAGAATACCAACACCTTTAGGAAAGATCTTTAGAAGTAAATATTCTTAGGAAACCTCAAAATAAACCCAGAAATTCATATGGAAACCTTAAAAACTCAATAGAATTCATACAAATATATTTTGAAACCTTGGGAAAACCCCTAGAACTTCTTTCTAACTTTCTTAGAAATACTCCTATAAATAAGTATAAAAAGATTTTTGGAAAAAATATCCTAACACGCCTTGTATATTCCCACTTGTTGTGTGGCACAAGAGCCGCCGAAGTTGGAATTAAGCATGCATATGCGCATTTTTCGAACAACAATCAAACAAGAATACAAGATGACATACAATCTCCATCAATAATGAGCGTGTTTGTTAAAAGGCAGCATGCCATTTTCGTCAAACTTATTTATACAACGCTCTGAAAGCTTTCATCGCCTTTGTCGTTTAATTAACCAGTCAGTAATCTTCGTTATCGCTACCAGAAAAAAAGTGACCAAAGCCGCCATGGTTTGTGTGAACCTTTCACTCATATTCCTTTTGTAATTATTCCAATTTCAAATACCAAATCATGATTAGGAATCACTTTACCGTATTTGACTCAATAAACACATTAATCATTAATGTCGATATTCTTTTAACATCCCTCTTATACAAAAGCATTGCAAGCAATTATATTCATACAGTCCATAAAAGCTTCATTTGTACACGCAACAGGAACAATACATACAAATTACAGATTTCTGCAGCAGATTTAAAGGCATGCCTGTGCTGTGTTGCCAGTATTCAAAATGAGTATTTTCATGCTCGTATAAAAGACATTGGCGAAGACACTTTACCATGGTAACAAAGCATTCTGCATAATCTCAAATCCCGCTATAGGATTCTGTATTTTGTTAGTACTGAATTGTGTCAATAGAAAGAGTACACTTGTGTGGAGAGAGAAGTAGATTCGCATATCTTTTCCCGAATAGCGTTAAGAGCAGGATATAGGTAATAGGCAATTAGTTGTCGAGCCCTCCTATCCTGGAGTATTTTTTCTGGGGGGTATTGGCTCCTCGGTACCACGTTCTTCTCCAAAAACAATTATATACCATAAGCCTCTTTATTGCTGGGCGCTCTTGTGGAGATTGCAGTACAGGGGGGTCTGGGGGTATAATGAGAGAAATAGATTCGCATATCTTTTTCAGAATACCGCTAAGAGAAGGACTGAGGTAATAGAGAATTAATTCTCGAGCCCTGGAGCAACATCTAATACATAAATGCATAAGAGTAATTTTAGTTTTGAAAGGTACATGTTTATACTACTGCTCAATGGAGGGCGCTTTTAAGTGTACCTAAATGTGTTACCCAAAAAATACATAAGGTTAGCACTCTATTGCTTGCGTATATCTGTGGTAAAACCGAGGCTCTCCCATCCAGGGCCATTGGCAGTACGAGGTTCGCTGGGTCCGCTAGTAATTTATAAAAAAAGAACATAAGTTGAATCTCTTTATATTTAGTACTCTGCTAAAAATATGACTATTTGGTTAATCCAGAGTATTTGCAAAAAGTTTCTGAATAAACCTGGTATCTGTGGAATATCCATTATTTATACTGCATCAGTTCAAATAATCACTGCATTTATCGTAACAATTGACGCCTTTATTCTCCTTGTCTATAGATCAAATGGTATAACTAATCTAACCACTTAAAGCAAGAAATTCAACTTTATCTTCTTACTTGGAAGGAATCTCACCAACACACGAATAAACATAAGTACAATCTTCGCATGCTCATCTCAATTCACTTGCAATAATTTAGAAAATTGAGCTTGAGTACCTATTTCTGGGCAATTGTTTTAGACATTCCAAGATCTAATCAGAAAAGCAAATTGATTCGTATAACACCTCACTATACACAAAAGACATAAATAACAACCAATTAATTACAGGCATTCGAAATGGTAGTGGATCAATGAACATAAACGTGATATAAATTATTCTACGTGGCACACAATATTGCCTAAACTAACACAGTAAGCAAACAAGTGAACAAAAAACCTGCTGAAGAACGACTTACCTGCTCCTTTAGTAACGCGGTGTGTTGTCGTTTCATCTCTCTTTCCTGAAACAAAACTTGAATTAGCTATTTACTTTTAAAGCGATCGCAACAAACATAGGAGTATTATGCAGACACCCAAAAGCAACATCAACATTAAGTCAACCCCCATAGCATACTGAAATATACTTACGCAATAATAAGGAAACATTCTGTGACAAGTCATTTTTAAGTCTTATGCTCTCATAAAAAATTGATTTTTTGGTTGTAACTTTTGATGCAGCTGTTGGATCGTCACAAATGTAACATTTGATGATTCTACATCCCAAAATCGAGCCCCGAATGATTTTAGGTTTTTGTAGTGTAGGTTGCAGTGAAACAAACTTGTTAGACCAAAAGGCAGTGACCTCCCCCCCCTACAGCGGTTGGAATATATATTTAAAGAGGATTATATATAATTATAAATATATGTAATAAGCGTTGACTCTCTGCCTAACTTATCAATCGCCACAAGAGCGTTTAAATATCTATTCCTACCGCGCGGGGGGGGGGGGAGTGAGTGAAGTGAGACAATTTTTTTTGCAAACGTATATTAGAAAGCGCTACAATCTCACAGTGATTCAAATATCATCACTAGCAAGGGTTGCAAGTTTCAGAAGATATTTTCTCATAAAACTCTTAATTATAGAGACAAAGTATAACATATGGTTAAAACGCTCTATATCTTTTTTAATAAATATTTACTACAATTTCTGATAATGATATTTTTTTCTAAAGTGAACCATTAAAAAGATATGATTGAAAAAATTAGAAACCAACCAAATTTCAAGGGTTTTGGGGGTGGTACGGGGGAAGCACAACGGGTAGGAGGTCGAAAACTTAGATTCTTAACCACCAGAAGACTGTCTATGACATGCAAAAGGAATCGGAACTACTTCTCATTTTGCAAGTTAAAACCCTCTATTCCCTGGACTATAATTATAACACATTTATTAACCTACAAGGTCACCAAGGATAAAGTGTACCCATTGCAATTTCATCATCACCAAACATAAATCCAGTCTTAAGGAGCACATCTAACATTTGTTAAATCATGGACTTGCGAAGGATTTAAAATGTGACCGGTGTGATTTTGTTATCAAGTGCAAATCTAATTTAAAATACATTTGTTAGTGCATAAAACAGGTAAGAATGTCAAATGCGTCTGATAAATTACAACACCAAAAACCTCTTTATGTTCTCAGGAAATAACACGCCACACGCCAGTGAAATGCTGGAGATGTCAACTCAGTGCGGCATACTACTGTTCACCATCTCTCTCACATATGTTGGCACAGATTTAGTGACTATAGGCTATGGAATATACAATATGATCCAAGGTGGGGGGTGGATTAATTTTGCTATCAGAGTAATATGTATAGCGTTCTGTCAACAATCAGGAGGGATATAAATGTTATGATAAAATCAGGGGTCAAACGATACGAATACAGAATTTTTTTATTACTGATATTTTGACCAAAACGAATATTATTTCTTACCCTTCTTAAAATTTTAGGGTACTCTATCGTAGAGGTGACTTTGGGACAAAGAATTTACTCTGTGAATTTTCATGACTTTCATAATAACAACATAAAATTGGTCGCTGGCTGTTTGTCTATGTGGAATGTGTAGGAGGGGAATAGAGCAATAGTGTGTTCCACGACATTCAAGGTATGTCGTACGTGATAGTTCAACATACCTAAACTAATGTTTTTTATGAGATGGTGTGGAGGTTTAATCTGTAATCATTTCTTGAAACCTTATAGTTTTTTATGAGTCAAATTTGACAAAAGAGTTGTTTCGATTTTGTGTCCTTTTTTGTCGTTTTAACTTTAGATGATCTTAGGTTTTTCTTATACATATTGCTCTTTCATGTCATGCTGACATTATAATTTAACTTTCCACTTTACAATCTAGTACAGTACATGAAACTTTTGTTCATGAACGAAAAAACCCCTTGTCTGTTTCTTTAAAAAAAAATGGTGAACAAATGAATGAACCAGAAAACTAAAACAGCACTCTACTACATCATTTTTGTGCATCTACTAAACACATTAAAAAAATCTTACCTGCAATTTTCTTTGTTGTTCTTCGTGTCTATGCTTTTCCAATTCTTCTTGTCGTTTACGTCTAGCCTGCCATGCAACATCACAACAACACATAACATTAAACATTATTAAAAAATTATATTTCCACACATACAAAGGTAAAAGTTGCAAAATTTTGACAACATGCGTATTGGGCATATAAAATCATGCTACTGACACATGCAGCTCTGGAAGCAGGACGACATAAATAATATATACAATTTTCGACAGTCTATTACAACATTTATGATGTTGGGGGAAGGTAAGATCTTTGTGATGCCAATTCAATTGTTATTATGAGAGAGATATTTTAAGTAGGTACGTGTTGAAAACATTTTATAAAGTGCAACTACTGGTGCATTACTTTGGGAGGATCACAAGTGTTCAAAAAGGTGTTTGTTATTGTGCTTAGGCAAATTTGGTTTACTACTTGATAAGAGTTTTTGTCCGTTTTATTTTGTAGTACCTTGGTTGAGATTGCAGTGTATCTCAGCTGTTTATAAAGACAGCAACTTGCTGCTTTTGCAACCCTGTGCCACTGTTTTGTGAAACTGTTAATACGACAAACAGAATCAACCTAGCTACATTTGTTTCTGATATACAGGGTGAAAACGAAAAGTTTCACTTTTTGGATTTTATTATATACTACACATGTACCTAAGATAGTGATTATTTTAGTTTTGAATAGGCCATGGATTCATAGAGGTTTTCTTTTGTTTATTGTCTCCATGACAACTAAGGCCGTCGATACCAATCAATAAAAATGGCGGACGATCATTTCAAAAATTTGAAAATACAAAAAAATATATTTTGTGATACATTAATGTAATCAGGGAAAACTGCAAAAAATTGATGATATGCAGGGTGTTGCATTTAAAAAATAGCAACTTTAGGTCAAATCTCAGAAACGCTGGTGTAAACATTTTTTTGACTACGTCACTGGAATCTACCTAAAAATATTTAAAACTATCTCTATCTCTTAAAACAACTGAAATACACTGTCTCAACTAAAATAGGACGCAAAGTACATGATAGTTTTAAAATGATGATTGGTGGCAGCTTACTGATGGAAAGTCATCATGCTTATATGGTATTGCAGTCATATGACAAAACAAGTTTGCTTGTTAAAACTTACTTCTAATAACTGTTGCGATCGCGCTTCCCTCTCTCGCCGAGCCGCCTCTTGTCTCTCCGACCTCTCCATTTCTCTTTGCAGCCTCGCCTGCTCCTTCTCCATTCTGGCCTGCGCACGCGCGGCCTGTTGCCTTCGCGCCACTTCTATTCGTTGTTCGACCGCTAAATTGGTACGCGTAACCGACTTCCATTCTTCCAATCTAAGATTAATCGTTACTTATCCTAAGGTGTATTCTACACAAACAACAATACCTGCGATTTACTTCATCCTCGGTTAGACGAATAAATTCGCTTCCCTCGGAAGATGTCCCAGACGGTACCACTTGCAGATAGTCGCCTAAAATGACTCTACTGCTAAAGGTAAAATTTTCTTTTGTAAGTTCGACATTATCTTGATAATCGAGATACTAGAAAAAAAGGCATAAGATACTGTTACGGTCTCCCACTAAAATACCTGTGTAATATCGGACATTTGTTTAAATTTATTTGACGAATCTGGAGCGATGTAAATAACGTCGCCTCTAATGTTTCCATTTTTAGCCAACGCCTTGATCACAGTTTCACGTTTCCAACCTAACAAAACCAAAAAAAAAATGAGCGCACATCAAGCTTTGGGTAGTCTAGAAACTTTAGATTAAAAAAGCGCAGAAAATGGAATTAATTAGCAATTTTTTTCTTCTCAGAAGTCTTCTATCGGTAACACCATGGAAATAGCACTAAGAATTCAAGAATATTTCACAGATAGCTGCACAAAAATTCCTCCATGACGTAAACAAGGAATAGTGAAGGTAGGGCAGGTACCGAGTGTAGTCTAGCAAAAGATGCTATAAACTGTACCGACTCGTAGAGCCTAGGATAACGCAGCCATCTTAAAAAAATGGCAATCGTCCTGTTCCAGAATTTTTAGTATGTGAAATGGCATCATCAAAAGAAATTGCTAATTAATTCTACTTCTTCTTACTAAAGTTGCTAGACTATTTGTTTATAACAGAAACCTTTTTCAAGAGGAACCCTTAGCGCCCGTTCATCAAAATGTTTCGACTTTTTCACTGTCATGGATGAATCGGTTTCCATTTCCGAATCGGTGTGATTTGAGTCTGTTAAATTATCTGAATCTGTGGAGGCGTCGACAGTACTCGAATTAGAATCGCTAAGCGCGCCTCTAAATTTTTCCTGCAAGAGCTTATTGAAAACTTTTTCGTCTCCTCCCGCCTCGACCATTAACTGCTGCGCCGCCAATATATTTGACTTCAACAAAGATATTTGTTGGTTCATCGAGGCGTTCGGATCTAAGACTTGCATTGGTTTAATTCCTATGGAAAACTGAAATATGAGCGACGGGCACAAAGAGGGAGGATCATTACCTAAAGCTCTACTTTGAGCCAAAAGGGACGCTACAGTATTTTTCTTAGGTTTACTAATTCCTCTACCGAGATTGCGAGGCCTTCCGTCTTTATGAATGGGCATTGGAAGTGATCCGATGGTACACGAACTAGTTGATGTTAGTGGATTTGACAGCGAATCATCGAGTCGGTTAGGCGACCTAGGCGAGTCGGCAGATGCAAACAACTGCTGTAGTGACGCACTCGGTGCTGCCGGAGGTAGGTGTGAAGGTTGAATTACTTTTCGTGGTTTAGGACCGGGCTTTCTTCTTGCTATGTAAAAAGCTTTCAATATGGACAGATTTCACATATCCCACTTACATATTCGATCGACTCCTAAATTTGCCGACATATTGCTAAGAGAGTTTAAAGAAGAACTTGTTAAATTCGTAGAGCACGGTTTCATTGATAAGTTTAGTGGAGCATCGCCGCTTATCCCTTCGACTAGACCGCCGCCGCTATTGCTAAAACCGCAGTTGTTCGGACTTCCGTTTGTCGGCGATAATTTAATAACTTCTACTCTGTCATTGGAAGTATTTAGTGAAGTAGGTGAATCGTGAGATTCCTGCTTTACTTAAAATTAGTAAATGTTCAGGCGCAAATCGAGGACTTACGCTAAGTTTGGAACGTTTCGCCGTCCTTTCCACGTGCAAACTTCCGCCCGAAAGCGTAGGATGGACACTGACAGATGGAGGATCGAGAGAAATCGTTTTCTTTCGTCCCCTATTTGTAGTTCCAGGTATTTTAGGACCGACAATTGATGAAGTATATTTTATTATTTCTGTGTCTGGAGGTAGACGAACTCCACCAAGTATTGTACTTGGGTCGCTGAAAAGTAATGAATCATTATATGACAGGAGGGAGACAATTGGAGCAGAGTTGTAAAAATTCAAGATGTGGACAAACTTTACTATAATATGCGTCTTCTTGCGCTGGAGAACAACACCCTGGAAACAGTGGCGCCATTCAAAACATTTGATTAGGTGGATAAATCCAGAACCAATATATTTTAGGGTGGACCAAAATTGACTCGATATATTTATGCAGGAGTATTAATGTTATATATAATGGAAGAGTGTGAGAATCAAACACAAGGTGAGATTTATCCTATGTTTATAATAAAGATTACACTAAAAAAAACTTTGTGTAGAACACTGAATATATCTTCAAAACAACATTTTTTAAAAGAAGCTTTTATGGTATCCAAAATTGTAAAAAGTTTGCTGCCAATCGGTGTACTTTAAATTTGTGGTCAGTGGCGTACTTTTGCATGGTCAAGGAGGGCCTATTTTTTAAATGCCAACTACTGATTTTCATTACATATTCTTAAAGTGTACACTTTTTGGATATAGCAGCATAAAACACTTATCAAATTTAAGAAAAAAGCTCAAATTAAGGAAAATAGTTTATTAATTTCATAATTTTACTAGTTTGATGTCATATTAAAAAAAGGTTCATTCTATCTCACGAAAAATAGTGCTTTCCATTAAAAAAGATGCTCTTTAGTTCTGTAGACGCACGTCGCTGTAAATAATTTTTATGCATGTAGATTTCCTTAAATTTTTTTACTGATTTTTCATACAATCCAAGTGCTTTCACATAACTAACAAGAGAATGACGCTTTTATCAACGCAAATTAGTGAATTTATTAAATTAATTAACACAACCATTTTTAATACAAGTGTTTACGCTGCTATACCCAAAAAAGTGTACAGTACAACCTCGTTAATCCGAATAGATTCAGACCACCGACCTTTCGGATTATCAAATTTTCGGATTATCGCGAAACTAGTGAAAATAATAAATTTGGACACAAACATTAAGAAATAAAAATTATTCTTTTCAACATCTTCAGGGGTGTCATCGTTGTTACGAGGAACGAAATTATTTCGGACTATTGCGATTTCGGACTAGCGTGTATTCGGATTATCGAGGTTGTACTGTACTCTTTAAAAATATGTAATGAAAGCTAGTGGTTGTCATTAAAAAAATAAACCCCCCTTGACCATGCAGACGCCACTGACCACAAATTTAAAGTGATAGCAAACTTTTTATAATAATTTTGAATACCATAAAAAAATTGTGTAGAGATGGCGCTTTACTGTTTTTGTGTAATCAAGAGTTTTTCGAAATCTGAGGTACCACCAGCCCCAATTATTTATTTTATTTTTGGTCTTTTTAATCAAGTGGGCGGAGATTCAGACAAAACTGCGCTACCCACTATGCACTTACAAATTACCATGCCCGAATCCGGATTCAAACCAGGGACCCTTAACACTGCGCCACACAGGCCGGTTTACCTCCAATTATCGAGACTAATATACTAGAAAATATTATCGTAAAGTTTGTCCATTCCTAATAATAAGGTATACTCAACTCCAGTCTTTACACGAAAGGGCGTTTATTGTAGCACAAATGAACATCTTACCTGTTTCCTTCCAAAGCAGCACTAATTCAAAAAAATTAATTAATTAAAAATTCTAACAAAAATGAAGTTAAGGTAACACAAAATACACAGCTACGCGAGAAAATAAAGACCTATTGTGTAACTTGGATGGCGCCTTAATAGAATAAAAAATAACATTTTTTTTGCATAAATGAGGATGCAATTTTTAATAATCAAAAGCATTCCATTCTATTCCCAAATGGGCATATCCAACCTCCCCTTTTAATGACCAAAATAGACGTGCCCACCAGAATGGTACATTTTCTTCTTCCAATTTATGTTCTTATAAGTCATATCATCCGCCATTATACCTTAAAATTTCAAATAGGAAATGTATGGGTCTTAACGCAACCAATTTCTGCACAACTTCCCCTTCCCAGGGACATCACTGCTGATGCTAAATTGATCAATCAATCACAAATTTGAAATACATATAAGTTACGCTGAAGGGCTTACATTATCAGTCCATTTTCTACCCCTAAACTTTTTTTCTGTACGCCACTACTAGATTGTAAAACACGAATTTAATTTTCTGATTTGTTTAGAAACTTTTTGGTCTCTTGTAATTTTTCCGTATCTTTGACCATGACCGAGAAAAAAAATTAAGATCAATTTTCCGTAGATAGCTAAACAAAAGTAAAATTTTTACAATGGTCCAGTAGGCCTTGGCTTTATTTGGATAGTATCTTTTTTTTTATTAGTTTTGACAGTTGGCATTGAAAACTGATCTTGTGTTTGCATGTTTATAAATTAAAAGTAAAGTGTACAGGGTGGTCTAAATTGGACACTTTCTTATGGAAACACCCATTATTTTAAGAGATAGAAAAAAATGGACTTAGTAGGCGTCTGGAGCCCCAATTTTAAAGAGAATATCACTGGCGCAAACAGAATTCATCTCTCGTTTGGCCGCTAGGGGGCGTTTCTCGAATTTAGTCAATTTCGTTTGGATTAACTTTCTTATTATTAAAGATAATGGATTTTGGCAAAATCTTTCTTAGAGCACATTTTTATGTAGAATCCATTGCGATACACGTATTTGGTTTTTCTCATATGACTCTAAATTATATTTTTTCATATGGACTACCCTATATATTTTGGAGTTTTTGAAAAAAGCGCCACATTTCCCAAATTTGGATGTATCACTTGTTATATTTATATTAAATATTATTTGCAATATTGCATTAATACTTATGTGTACAACTAGTTTTGAAAGTGACACTTTTTTTCATGAATTTGCAGTTTGATTAATGAGGTACAACACAAGTTGTATGCGAAATTTTTTTCCATAGTGATCCGTAGTAATCCATAATTGAATAATATAATATCGACATTTATTCGCGGTTTAATGTCACTCATTTTCCATTGCGAACAAAAGATGGCAGGATTGTGTACGGATAATTTCTTGGTTATTTGGAAATGTGTATTAGTTTCCAAATATTTTTAGTGTCAAAAAACAAAGAACGTGAAAACACATGCCAATAAAACAAATAGGTCATATAATATATGATGCAGGTAACCAAGAAATTGCAGTTTTAAACAATCCTGCCGTCTTTTGTTCGCCATGGAAAGCTAGATGCCTACAATAAAAAAATTTAATGTATAAAGTGCAATATTGCAAATAATATTTAATATAATTATACTTAATAAGTGATATTCGATACACTCTTTTCAAAAAAGAATTGCAAGGTTACTAAAAAGGTCTCTAAAAATCAGTAGTGTAGGAGCTTAAATACAAATAAGGGATTTAATTAACATGAATGAGTGTTTCAACACCAGATTGGTGCAACTAATCTGGAAAGTAAGGTGATGATGTCATCGTGCTGGAAATAATTGTATATTATTATTGTAAGCCAATTAGTTCAACAATAGATTTGGAATAAACATGGCAGACATGGAGCATTAGTTCTCATTTACTTGGGCAAGATAAGTGTTTGCATTTTTGATGCGAATATTTTAGCTGCATATTACTTACAACATACAAAAAGTGGTATGCGAATTACGCTTACCTTAAAATACTGGAGGGGAGGCCGCTGCTAGACGTCGTGCTGCTCTCAGACGTTGTCGTCGTGGTATTAACACTATTCTTCTCTAAATTATTAGCTAAACTTAAAGGATTTGTAAAAATACTAGAAACTGATGATTGTGATAATTTTGGGCTCGAATTTTTAGGTCTGTCGGGTTTCATATAGTTCGCGTCGTTGATTTTAGGCGTTTTCCTATCGTTATTGCTGTTCGCGGTTGAGCTCGTCGTGGTAGTCGGCGGCAGTTTCATGCTGGGCTGTATCGTTAAACTGGTGCTCGGAGAGAATTTCGGAACATTTGTACTAGAGGTTGTCGTTTTGGTGTACGAAGTAGGAGAGGTGGTGCGGAGAGCCGTCGAGTCGATCTTTACGTTAGCGTGCGAAGATGAGAGACTTTTCGCCTTCGAAGTGCTGTTGCTTCCTTGTTGGGATTTTGGCAGTGAGGATACGTTGTAGTTTTTCGTATTTTTTGAAGACTTTTGATAATTCGAAAGAGAAGATAATCCCAAGGAGGAGTACGGATCGGCCGGATTTGAAAGGCCGGGAAAATTTAGACCTGTTGCCTGGATGCGGGCCAGATAGTCCTGTGCTGCCAAATGGGATGCCATAGACCACCACGCCGCACCTAAAACAAAGCGAAATGAATTTCACGTGTAAACAAACCGCCAAAAAGTAACGCGTCTTTGCAAAACATGCGTCAGTAAATGTGCCAATGATGGAAGTGAGAGAAACGCACATAAGATTTACCATTTTCCAGTAAAACTTCCGCACAAGTTGTTACCAGCATAAGGTCTAACTAATTATTACAAAGTAAAATTATGACCTCTTTTAGTCTTTGCGCTACACTGAGTAGTGGGAGGAAAGTAGATCAATAAAATGAATTACACGTTTAGCACGTGTGATAGCTTTCCACCCTCTGTTTTCATTTCGGTTATTGCTTACTATAATTTAGATTTACACAATTGCTTATTTTGCACATGACCTAAACGTTTTACTACTACCCTAATCAGCAAAATTACAAAGAATAAACAAACCGTAACCCAGAAGGAATGAGATGCTCCCCTACCGTCTCCACAAGTGCCCTTTAAATATTATTAAAATAGGTACAATAAATTATTACCAAACGGTACAGCGCTGCTCATTTCCAACTTCCTTCTGCGCCTTTTTAAATCACAATCCAATTCCATACCAAGTTATAAAACTTTAAGCAGTTTGACATTTAGAAAATTGTTATTTTAGTAACAAATGCGATTTTAATTTTGTTCAGGAATACAAATTATCCATTGGTTTCCATTTGACACGACGCATTTAGGTGAATGCGGCGTTGTTTGATTCGGACATACGAGTAAATTCGGGTCATTTTTTGAAAACGTCAATGTCACAATTTTTGAAGTTACTAGATCCTTACAATTTTTGTAATGCGTTGCCATCTGTTGTTGTTAACGTATACTATTTTGATTTCGGCGAATCGTCTAGGACTGTGGCCGTATCGTGAATTTGTAAGGCGCTTCTTTGGTAATTAATGTAAATGATGGACGGTAAAAATAGAATTCCAATTAATAACAATTGTAAAAAATTTTTTGTTTAATTCAAATGGATATCGTACTGTTTAATAATTGCATTTGTATTGTTTTTTTAGCGCATTTTCCAACTCATGCTGGAAGGCGCTAAGACTGCTTTCACATTGGCGATTTCTAGACGCGCGATTCTGCAATATTATTATACACATTACGTTGCTTGCCCGCGCGACTGATCAATAGAGCAAAAAGAAGCGTTTCTTCGTCGGAATTCATTGATACTTGACTGACTTGACGTTACCATCCGCTTGGATTTGTCGCGTACTCGCGCGGCTAAAAATCGCCAATGTGAAAGCAGTCTTATAGTCACTTTCTGCGCCCCGTTTTAAAATACCTTAAAAAATATAGACATTGCACTTGAAAAACAAAAGTTGCGCATCGATTTCCGGTTAAACCGGAAATTTCAGTATGCAATTAGATAGATAGTAATGACACATAAAATTCCTTGTATCTTCAACGCACTGACCATGTGTGCTATTTTGATTGAGACTGCAGTGTATCTCTGCTGTTTTTTTTAAAAGGGATTTACCGTTTTCGCCACCCTGTGCCATATTTTTTGTGAAACTTTTAATACCACAAACAGAATCAATCTATTACGTTTGTTTCTGAGATACAGGGTGAAAACGAAAAGTTTGACTTTTTGGGACGTTATCACACCCTACTACCCATGTAAGATAAAGGTAATTCTAGTTATTTTTACGTGGAATCCAGTGGCGTAGTAAAAAAATTTTGGACCACCCGGTTCTGAGATTTGACCCAAAGTTGGTATTTTTTCTTGTATTTTTTTAATGCTTTGTTTATTGTATCCATGGCAGCCGATACCAATCAATAAAAATGGCTGACGGTACAAACAGGATAAGTATTTCCAAATTTTGAAAACTATGATATAATATATATACAGGGTGAGTTTTTTTTTCATTTTAAGCATTGGGATCTCGGAAACCGTAAGACATGCGGATTCGGTTAAATGAGGAAAGAGTTGTCGTTTTAAGAGCTTATTTAAGATACGCTTTTGTTTTTTGAAAAAAATCCACAGTTCATTAGATATGAGCGAAAAACAGATTTCGTGATTTTTCATTTAACTGTTGTAGAATCGTTATTATTAGAAATACAACAAAATGACACGAATAAAAGTTTTAGACATTTTAATGCTTAACATGATGAACATACTTATTTTTTTTTAGATCTTACAATTTTCGAGTTATAACGCAAACTTACATTTTTTTAAATGGTAATCATAGTTGGCTTTGACATTTTTAAAAAGGACAAATTTTTCTCTTTATAACGATATAAGGCTTGCTAAATGTACTTTAATAAATAAACGCCCTGCAGTAATTTTCGAATTATTGAGAGGTAAGTAAACAGAGTTGGCCATGGAAAACAATATCTAGTGAGATAGGTACTTAGACCATATAGTACATGTACTGCTATTAGCCCTATGCTTTCAATACAAAATGGGTAGTCACGGATAGAGGGCACTGTAGTCGTGGGTATGTGAATCTCAGGCTAAACTAAAGTCGTATGAACACCACTCGGATCGCGTAAAGAGTAGCTTTTATGGTAACAAATAAGAATAGGTTTGCTTTTTTGCCTAGGCGATTAATTAATTGACGTTTGTTAATTTATAGGTTGACAGTCTCAAATCGTGTCTCATCGGACAATTTCGGGCAGACTCGTTTACCCTGAAACTCACATACCCAGGCGATGTCCTTGACCCTCTTTTAGTTACAATTAGCAGTACATGTACTATATGGTCTAAGGACAGGTACCTTTCATTTACGACGAAAATTGGACAGGCCAATGTTATCTTCATTTTCTACCAAATGAATTTCAAGATATGTAGGATGGGTTAGATTTGGAAATACGACGTAATTTACGCTGGTTTCAACACAACGGTGCCCCGCCGCACAACTAACTGCAAGTTAAATATTATAATAGACAGTAATTAAGAGAACAAAAATGTTTCCCATGGCAAAATCTGTTTTTACTACTCTTAATAATACAAACAGTTCTGTATCATGTTTATTTGTCAAAGTAAGTACAATGAACCTTATATCATCGTAAACAGAAAAAAATGCACTTTTTAAAAATGTCACAGCCAACTATGATTACCATTTAAAAAAATGTAAGTTTGCGTTATAACTCGAAACTTATAAAAGAAGAATAAATATTAATAAATGTGTCTTATTAAGCGGAAAAAATCTACAATTTTTGTTCTTTGCATATTTCTGTATTTCTAATACTAACGATTCTACAACAGTTAAATGACAAATCTGTTTCTCGCTTACTAGTAAACTGTGGATTTTAAAAAAAAAGCATCTTGAATAAGCTCTTAAAACTACAACTCTTTCTTCATTTAACCGAATCTCTATGTCTTACGGTTTCCGAGATTCTAATGCTTAAAATGAAAAAAAACTCACCCTGTATATAAAAAATATATTGCGATACATCAATGTAATCAGAAGAAATCATGAAAAAATTGACATTATGATGTACAGGGTGTTGCGTTTAAAAATACCAACTTTTGATCAAATCTCAGAAACGGTGGTCCAACAATTGTTTTTACTACGCCACTGGGTTCTACGTAAAGACATCTAAAATAGGCAGTTTTTACCTTTTTTCTATCTTCCATGGGTAGTAAGATAGATAGAAGATACTTCACATCCCAAAAAGTCAAACTTTTCGTTTTGACCCTGTATTTCAGAAAAAAGTGGCACAGGGTCGCGAAAACCACAAGTCTATCATTAAAAACAGCTAAGATACACTGCACTCTCAACCAAAATGGGACACATGGTAAATACACCGACGGAAAATTTTTTTTATATATATATACAGGTTGATTCAAATTCGAGGGCCACCATGGGGATCTCGGGAACTGTAAGAGATAAGTGGGTAGTTCAAATTTGGCAAAGTTGGGTATTTTGATGCTTAACAAAATGCAGTTTTGAAACTGAAAAAATTCCGACTACTTTCGGAGATATCCGGAAAAAAACCGAAATTTTGCAAAATCGTTTTTATTTTTTACTGACGTTATTTAAAAATATATTTCCAAATAAATGATACATTATTATTGCCACTTTTGCCTCTCTACAAGACGCTACTTTTAAATTTTAAGTTTGACGAATTTTAACCACAGATAACTCCATTAAAGGCAAACATATCTCATATTGTAAATATTATATGTGCGCATGCGCAGTCTGCACAGTACCAACTTTCTAATTTAAGAAGATATTTCTCTGAATTGTAACCACAGACGCTTCTAGTAAAGAAAAAGATTGACATATAGTAAAAATCGAATAATATGCCATGCGCAAAAGCCGAAATGTCGACTTTCTTAGTTCTTACTTATAGAGGTTTTTTTTTAAAATGGCCGGCCCGTGTGGCGCAGTTCAGTTGAAGATGGACTGTGGTCCCTGGTTCGAATCCGGGTTCGGGTATGGGTATTCGTAAATATATGGTGAGTTGGGTTGGTAGAACAGCCTTGACTGAAACCACGCCCACTCAAAAATAAAGGCAAATAAACAAATGTCATTATACTGTATTCATTTTAAGAAGGTAGCGGTAGAAAGCATAGGGAAGCTTTGACCTTCAGTGTGATTGGTTAAAACATGAGTCAGTATCACAGTGAAACATAAAACGACTGGTGAATTTTGTAAGGTGGTAGTTTATGTTGCCAACTAAACTGCCGAAGTGTCATTAGCTGTTATTGCGAAAGGTTTATTTCTGTTCACAGTGCTGAATATTTCTACTTTACAATAATTTGGTGCCGTTTTATATTTTTCCTGTGTGTGTTTATCTTCAAACACAGCGCCATCTACTACCTTCTTATAATGAATGTAGTATAGTAAAGACAAACACATGACACATACTAAAAATCAAATGTGTAAGTGCGCAGAAATTTTAACTAAACTCGTCTAGTAAAAACAAACATATCGCATATCAGAAGACGTATTGCGAACTCTTACTTACGGAGACATTTTTTGAAATTTTAATCACAGATGCTTCTAGTAAAAACAATCATGTCGCATGTAGTAAAAATTAAATATGCACATGCACAAGCCGGGCAATGTCAACTTCCTTATAGAGATATTTTATGAAATTTTAACCATAACTGATTCTATTTATGAGCAAGTTATACTCGATTTTTTTAAATAGTTCCAACACAGTTTTTAAATCGGATTTTAAAACTACTTACTAGCTGCCGGAATTCCGAGACTAGCTGCTTGGCTCGCCGCGACGGAAAGTGTGTTAGTATACGCGTTATTGTAAGCGGCCGCGGCCGTTGTACTCGTTGGATAACCTGGCGGCATACCGCGCGACGAGCTTGACGGCAACAATCCAAACGGCATGCCGGGATGCGGGCCCAAACCGTAAGCGGCGGCACCTGCCGACGTCGCAAACATATTGGCCGCGTTCGCCGCATTGGTATTATCGCCTTGGGGCCAGTAGGCTGCGGTAAAATAATTTTAACATTTGGGTTGCATTCGGCGTTTAAGTTATACTCACCAAAGAGACTTGCGGCATCGAGCAAAGTTGATGGGTCAGGAGTGTTTGAGAGTTTACTGGAGTTGGAACCACCTTCAGTATTCTCCCCATTTTCTTTATCCATTTCCACCCCACTCCCTGCAAAGAGTCAATTGAGGAGTATTTGCCTGAAATTGCAATTAGCGCGTACCTCAATATTAGTACTGTATGACGTCCCTTGCCCGTAAAAATGTGTAGCCTAACCCATTTTTCGCCATCTGAAACAAAGTAATACAATTGAAAAGAATTTTTGAAATAACAATAAAACAAATTATGTCATTACGCCATTATCAATTATTTAAATATAAAATCGAGGTTAAGAAGTGGGTAACACAATTGAACTTGACCTAGAGCAAGCGAGCGACCACGACCTCTACCCCACATTCGCGCCCTTCTTTAGCACGTCGAGTTCGAGGGGAACGCACTTTCAACTGTTATTCAACTATGCAGGAAAACCTCTTCGGGGCACGAGTCTTTTACGCCAATAAAGATCGGTCTAAAAAACCCTCTTTTCGGTTACATTCCGATTCAAGAAATCTCCAAGCTTTTGAGACAAAAAAAACGATCAATTGGTGTATGGATATTTGCGTAATATTCCTGAAAACGGGCTCCCCATTTCCATGACGACCGTATATAAATCAATGAGATTCGGTTTTCGGGTAGCGGGCGTATTAAGTTTCCTTGTTGCGCAAATGGGAAGATATAGGAACGGAAACATGGACTACTTAATTTTCGTCTCTTGTTTTCGCTAGAGTATTACTGGCTTAATTAAATAAATTGGTTCAAGTTTCATTTTTACACTACAAAAAGTGCGGCAGGAAGGCACAAATCATGGTATTTTACAACTATCAAAGAGATATGTACACTTAATACATTTAATGAGACGTACAACATGCTTAGTTTATTTTAAAGCTACGAGTATAACCCCATTATAATGTTATGGATTTATTTAATAATTATCCCTATAATTAATAATAACTTAAAAACCATAAATGGCAGATATCGACATATGAGTATCAAAAGGATTGACATTTCACGTAGAATTTAAAAATGCAATAAAAAATAGGGGTTGCCATTTAAAATAACGAAGTTACTATCTACTTCCGGTGTTTCCGGATGTGCGGCCATTTTGAAAATATTTTACATCGATTCGGCCTTCAGAGTAACTCCTAAGTTCAAATTTTCAAAAACCTACCTATTTTACTTTCTCAAAAACGTTTAACTACAGCTCCCAAAAAAACACCCTGTATATTCCAAGTGGGATATCCCTCGCAAGGAACTATACAGGATAGTCTATCCATCGTGTAGGTTTTCCCCAGGGCCGCTTCGCACTTATTTACATATCCCCATAATTTTTCATGATCTTCGTCTCTATAGCCATACGACTACAATTTTTGCTTCTGTACGTACCTACAATGTGCGATTCCATTTTATGCCTGAAACCGGAACTCTCTTTTTCGTTACCGAGCTTCTGACCCATTAGAAGCGATTACCGATAAACCAAGGTGCGTTCTTTCGGAAGACAATCACTCACTATCACTAAAAGTCTTCCAGGGCAGAATTCGAAAAGGTTGTGGAGCTTTTAGTATTTGTAATTTCTAAAAATCTTTCATTAATCATTTCAAAAATTTTAAAGGGGCCTTTATTTGAATCTTGAGGGGATCTGTGAAATTTAGTAATCTTAAAAGTGCCAGTCAAGAACATTTGAGGAATATCTGGATAGACTGTCGGATATTTTTCATGAAGATTTGGAAAGCATTGGACTGTACACCAGATGCAAAAGGTAAAAAATTTGAATAGTCTGAAGAAGAGTTTCCGAATAGCTCTTGGAGAAGTAAACATTTTATAACGAATATTTAAATTACTTTACAACTATTTTCATACAATTTCGTTCCAGTGTTCGAGGACGTGCCGCGATTCTGTCCATTTCACCATAAATAACAATTAAATTCCAAAATAGGTGAAACCACTCCGAGTCATTTTTCGATTTTGAAAAACCTATCTTCACCTATAACAGCAGGTGATGAATTAGTGTCACTAGATTTGTTTAAAATTCGATTGTTATAAAATCATGGCCGACTACTAAAAAGAAAATCCGAAAAAAATAGGTCAATTCAATAAAATGGGAATAAGTCAGAAACTGCTAAGGATAGCTATAGGAACATGTAATATCAAAATATGCCAATTTCGATTTTCTATCTCATGCAATAGTAAGAAAATAGTCATTCCATTTAAAAAAACTTAGTTTTTAGTCTTTGAAGTTTCATAAATTTGGATCTCCATAGGTGCGGTTGTACGCAACTTAACTTTTTTTTAAGTACACTAAAAGAAAGCCCTGTTCATTCTCTATGCACTGATAAAAATGGGTTGCCATGACTACAACCGTTTTCAAGTAATCAATTATCAAGGTACCGTCTGCATCCGCCATTTTTTTTCTTAAAGTCAAAATAACTTAAAAACCATAAATGGCAGATATCGACATATGGGTATCAAAAGAACTGAAATTTCACGTAGAATCCAAAAATGCAATAAAAAATAGGGGTTGCCATTTAAAATAACGAAGTTACTATCTACTTCCGGTGTTTCCGGAAGTGCGGCCATTTTGAAAATATTTTACATCGATTCGGCCTTCAGAGTAACTCCTAAGTTCAAATTTTCAAAAACCTACCTATTTTACTTTCCCAGAAACGTCTAACTAAAGCTCCCAAAAAAACACCCTGTATGTAGTATACACTGTGTCCAAGATGATGTCTATCATAGAGATTTCCGAAGCCATAAAAAATATACGATGGTCAAATTATAGACACAAGATGCGCAATTAAAGAGTTATTATCATGTTTTAAAGAAAACCAGGAAATTCCGTTTACTTTCGAAGATATGCCCGAAAAACCGAAATTTGAAGAGAAACAAAAAAACACTTTCTCATTGCCACTTTTTGAGCTCTTACAAGACACAGCTGAGAGGATTTCAACACAACGTTTCGTATCGGAGAAATCATCGTCAACTTATGTTTTTATATGGTCCCTAGAAGAGAACACATTGTATTGAGTGGCATACAACCATGTAGGACACAAAAAAACAAAAGTTGGCAAGTCTGTTGATTTCAACAAGTATTCTCGCACGTTATAGCGTTGTGCGCGGGTGCACCATCCTGTTGAAACCAATAGTTTCCAACTTTTGTTTTTTTCTTGTGTGCCTATAATATTGTCTCCAATATAGACAACGAGCGACGTCACTTCCGGTTGTCGAGTATGGACCAAAATTGAATCACTTAGTCCCTTGACCATTGTCTATCTATTACTGAAATAGAACTGGAAAATTCGAAAACGTTCGTGAGTTATCGTGTACACAGACGGACGGACGGACGGACAGAATGTCCAAAATCATAAACTCGCTTTTTGTCGCTCGTTACTAAAGTGCGTTTTAATTTTTTCGAAAAATAACCGCGTATAAGGGTAACATGTCATCGAAAAGAGAAAAAAATCTATATCAAATGAGCCTAATTAAAGGGTACCTACATTGGTATTTAAAAAAAATCATTAGTTTTCTTAAATAAGTAAAAACAACAAGAGCAGGAGGACATAGAGGAGGTGGGGTGAGAGGATGTAGAAGGAGACGAGATATCTACAGAAAAGATTGAGCAGCAATTAAAGAAACTGAAGAAAGAGAAAGCAGCAAGGAGAAGTGAAATATGAAATGAGACTTGGATTTTCGCCACAAATAGGGTCAAGGAGGAGATGAGGAACCTGTTAAAGAAGATATGGAAAGGAGCCGGACTACCAGAAAAATGGAAGGATGGAGCCATAGTGCCAATTTAAAAAAAAACGTGATAAAGACATACAGTCTTTAATTATAGGGATATCGTGACATTGAAAAAGGACTACGGAATAGAGAAATAGAAAAGAGATGTTGGAGATGCAGAAAAGGAGGGGGACGATCAATTGTATACATTGTTGTGTAAACTGGCAGGCGGACGTTTCGTTTGACTTTTACGCTACATGCGTAACATCATGTATGGCTAATTTCAATTATTGTTTACGTTAAACGTGGTTGTTTGTTGGAAATTGATCACAAATCTCGAAATTTCGGTCATATTAGTTGAATTTGAGGAGAATATAGATAGATGTATCAACGTTATTTAATTATTTGATGTTTGATTTTTAAAACTAATTGTAAATTTAAATTGCATGTTAAAAAACTAGATTTATTCAGTTAGAAATTATGTTCGTAGTATTTGCAGAAGTTTAATCTCATGTTTTTATCCGGTCGTAGATAAGGAGTTTTCTTATCGCACACAGGTACAGATTATTCTAACAGGGCGCATTATTTTTCTAAAGAAAGGAGTAAGTGGAAAGGAAAAAGGTTTTAAATAAGCGTTAATCATGGATCTTTTTTTAGTGGAAGACGTGAATCAAGTTTTTTTGTTGACGTTGAAAGGTACCCGTATTTGAGCGTGTTTGTTTGCAAAACAGTCAGTTTTGTCGTTATCGAGGCTTTCTGAAGAGACAGACAGTTTTGTTTAATTGTGAAGTTTTTTTTAAGGGAACTGTTATAGCTTCGAATGTGTGCTCCCCACTCCCAAATCTGTCTGAAAAAAATTGATTAAGTAGTTAAAATTCAAAAATTATCCAACAATAATTTTATGAACAAAAATCATAGCCTTTGACATTTGACGGTTTTGGTCTTCCCTTTGCTTCTGATTTTGAGGTTATTTTCTGTTTCTGCTTCGGTTTCCACCAGCTTCGAAGTCGTCTTGTTCTCGGCTACACGTACCATGTTCGTTTTGGGGAGACCTTTCCGATTTACGGACTACGTATTTGTAATAACCATCTTGGACATGGGGACCTTTTTTGTTGTTTTGACCATATTGCTTACAGCCCTCGTTACAGCCTTTGCCCCGGATCTTATTTTACCATTTTTAATAGAAATATAATCTTTTGACGGCGATTAATTAGCTAAAATTCCATTCAAAAACCGCTGAATGTATAATTCGTGCAACTGTCTGTGACATTTTTAATCAAATTGCTCAAATTAATTGAAAACGATGCACGTTGCTCGGATACTTAGACATTGTTCTTTAAAATGACGTTTTGGGAGGACATACCTTATTAGTATATTAAGATACAAGTGTATAATCAAGTCTTTAAAGCACGCGCAACGAGTTTAAGGGCACGACGCAAAGCGGAGTGCCTTTAACGTTGCAAGTGCTTTAAGGACT